GGAGATATTACGATTTTGTGGAAATGAACCGAGCAGGCTGCTATGTGAAAATGGCTAAACACAAGGGGGGGGTCCATTCAGATACCCATGGGACCGCATAATTTGAGCATACTTAAATTTGTTAATGTTTTTTCCAATTTTGTAGGGCTCTCAAAGTCAGTGCAGGACAACTCAATCTCTCTTCAACACAGGAGCAGTTTAGAACCTGAGGAAGCCACATCCATCTCAAAATTGATTTTGAGATATCAAATTCAGGCCGTAGGTACTGAGAATCAGCATGTCTTCTCTTGTGGGAAACAACCACAGTAGCCATCGATCCAGATGTACTCAGACGCCTCAGACGGCTTTGATCATTCAGATGACTCCACATTCACAGATGACTTCTTGGGACATGCAACCGAAAGTGATCGTCGTCCTCTTATCTCATACCCAGATGAAATTAGGAAGTCCAAATTTAATAGGGAAATTTGCCTATCAATAGGAAGTCTCAAACTTTGATCGTCTAGCACTTCTTGAATTAATTTAAAAAATTAACAAAAAAAAAAAAAAAAAAAAAAAAAAACAGGCCCGGCCTGACTCGAGCCCAAGGCCCTGCCGGGTAGCCCGGACCAGAACCGGTACCGGTATAAATCGGGCTGGTACCAGACCTTTCTTCCTTTTCCAAAATATATTGCCTTATAACTTCCTTTTTAATGGTTTTGCGACTATAGTTTCTAAATTGAGGGTTTAAAAAACCTCGAGCATAAACTTATAAGGCAAGACTTTCAGAAAAAAATAAAAGACAAATTCTCTTCACAAATTAATTCAGACATAGCAGTTAAATGTTTCGCATCATCATAAACGAAATTACCAAAGGGTTGATCATCTGCAAACCTCGATATTTGTGTTTGTGACCCCTTTCCTTTAACTTTCGTCTACTCCACGGGGTGACGACCCTTCAAATTCCTATGCGCGCCGTCGTATCCTTGCGAAATCCCCAAACTGATATCGTTCTTACAATATTTGCAGGTTGCATACCACTTGCCGTCTTGAAGGTTCTTCCACTTGTCATAATTAAGTTCCATATATAATAAGAGGTTTAACTTTCTTACTGGGTATGGATGAACCGGCGCCTTGTTCGTCCTCCTCGTCGCGGGTTTGCTCATCGAGGGTTTGGTCGTCAGTGGTTTGCTCGTCAGCTTGTTCCTCCTCATCGTCATCCACGAGCTCTTCATCAATCTAGGGAATGTCTTATTATTGGTAAAACCGCACATCCCATTAGGCAAATAGTTGAGATAGTTGCTCGTCGGGCATCACATCTCTCCAGTTGTAATTTGTCTCAAAATCATCTCGGCTTTGAGAAGAAGACCCAACATGTCCTTTACATTTGCCTCACGAAGTAGAATGGTTCTTCGCAATCTCCTTCTTTCGATTGCGTTGGAGGTTACCCATATATACAGAATGTCTACCTCGCTCAATCTTAAACTATAACAAATCTTGAAAATTTGTGCATTTAATATTTAAATTCTAGCAATTTTTAAATGTGAGTACGATTAAAATGTAACTAACAATTAAATGTGCCTTTAAAATTAAAATGCGACTTTACTATATAAATGTAACTTATATGATATTGTAAGTAAATGTGACAACTATAGAAAATGCAATTATAATGCAACTACTTTAACCTAACAACTTTAGTATTACAGTATATTAATATGTAACAAATATGGTTAATTAATATGATAATGTAACAAGTATACTAATGCAATTAAAAATAAACAAAATGTGAGTACAATTTCAAATGTAACTAAAATGAGAATAATATAATTTTTGAATGTAACAAATAATATAAAATGAGAATGTAACAAATATTAAAGTTGAGAAAATGAGAATGTAACGACTATTAATATGATAAATGTATCAAATTAATGAAAATTTAACAAATATTAATGAAAATGTTACTACTAGAATAAATGTATAAACTATAAATTATATTTTAAGTAACTAATATTTAATATAATGTTAATATTATATAATATAAGTATACTACTATAAGATGAGTAATACACTTATATTTATGACTTGAATAGGATAATTATTGTATAACTAATGATAATGAAAATGTAACTAATAGGATAAATGTAACTAATATTAATAAAAATGTCACTACTAGAATAAATGTAGAAACTATAAATTTTACTTTAAGTAACTAATATGTAATATAATGTTAATAGTATATAATATATAAGTGTACTACTATAAGATGAGTAGTAACACTTATATTTAATACTTTACTATGTGTACTTGATATATAAGTAGATATATTATATACTTTACTATAGGATGAATTACAAATAGGGAAAAATGGAAACTAATAATCCAACCCTTTAGCGGTTTTCTTACAATAATCCAACCTTTTGGTTATTCATGAATAATCCAACCTTTGCACTTCATCTTCATTCACTGGTCCCTGATCGGTTGATGACCTGCTATTCCAAGCTATTTTCTTATCTTTGCAAAATATTATCTTTGTGAAAGATGAATTTATGGTATAATGATTTGCAAAGATAAGAAAATAGCTTGGAATAACAGGTCATCAACCGGTCAAGTACCAGTGAATGAAGATGTGGTGCAAAGGTTGGATTATTCATGAATAATCAAAAGGTGAGATTATTAAAAGAAGACCGCTAAAAGGTTGAATTATTAGTTTCCATTTTCCCTTACAAATAAGATTTTTATATTCATGATGAAGAGGTGTCTAGAATTTTGATCAAAATATTTCAATTTTTTTTTGATATATCTTATGAATATTACTCAGCTCGTGAGTCTTCTACCATAACTACTTTCATTAATATGTTCCACGATCGAGTAGTTAAGTACAAAAATAATGATCAAGAACAATGATTTATAATTATGATAATCAATTGTATTTTACTTTTAAAATTTAATTTTATAGACAATTTTCTTTGATTTTAAGAGTTATATTAAATTAAATTGAACAAATATTTACATGAGGGGACATATAGTGAGAATGATCAAAGGTGGGGGGTAACTAATTGATTTTTGAAAATGCAAGGTTGCATTAATAAGTATGACATAACCTCAGGGGGGTTAATAGTAATTTTCCCATAAAATTAAATATCAAGTAAATGTCCAAGGGAAATGTCCAAGGTTCAACTCCAAACAATGACTTAGGATGAAGCACTACTCTCTTTCCATCTGAGTGTAATTAAAAATCAACTTAAATTCACCCAGATAACTGTCTGGTCGATTCTAGGGGCCTCAGGGATGGAATGTCATCCTTCTTTGATATACTTACTTATCATCAATTATATTAGTGAGTACTCTTTTTCCCTTTTGACCATGGTTTATATTTCCATTGAGTTTTGTTACTTGACAAGGTTTTTAATGAGCACCATCTCATATTTTAATTTTGCAAAAGCAAAATTGAAATGTCACCACAATCAATTTAATACGTAGTACATTATTATTAACATATTTAGAGGCCTTGAATCTTAGAGCATCTCCAATGGTACAATGTGCACGGTGCACATGTGGCATAAGAGATAACCACATAAATATTAGTAAATAAATTCTTTCTCTCCTTATTTAAATGATTTTATACAGTATTGGTAAGTTTTTCTCCACAATGTCAAGGAGACCGTCTAGATGTTGACATTGTTGTTGACATTGCAGAGAAAAACTTACCAAAATTGAATAAAATCATTCAAATAAGGAGAGAGATAATTTATTTGCTAATATTTATGTGGCTATCAATCATGCCACATGTGCACCGTGCACATTATAGCATTGGAGATGCTCTTAAATCTAATACTCATTCGGTTGCATTATGCATGCGAGTGTAGAACTTTATTTGAACCACTTGAACTTTACCTAAGTAGGACTAAAAGTCTAAAACATAACAAAAGTTCAAAAATAAGACTTTAATGATCCATGAGTAAAAAGGACCTAGCTTGACAAAAATGCCCTTAATGAAAAGCCCGATTTTTTAATACTTCGTAATTAATATTATAAAACAAAACAATAAAATAGAATTTACACAGATACTGTAGTCTACATAATACCACACAAGATTTGGTGCCAACATTCCACCATCTCCGCTTTGATGGTGATGTCACCCGCCTCATCAATCACCGGCGTCACCTCAACCGCCGCTCTCAGGTGAGTCTTAATCTTTCACCGCCGCGTTCTGTAACGCCACCGCGGCAGCCCAGTGAGTGCTCATCTGGTCAGATCTGCCTAGTCATCCATCGTCGTCACTCTCCAATTGTGTTGCCACCATCGCCTCAACCGCCGCCACCGCTCTCAGACGAATCTTCGTCTATCACAACCGCATTCTATAACGTTGTCGCCACCCTCCGATGAGTGCTCATTTGGCCGGATCCGCCTGGTCTTCCATCACCGTTACTCTCCAGTTGTGCTGCCGTCATAGTCAATTTTTCTAATGTAATGAAATAATATGTATTGCCATGTTGAAAATTTTAAGTGCGTACAAGGATATGTTTGTTTTACCGTCTGTCAAGCATCGTAAATCGAATTGTTCCAAACTTAGTGAGACAAAAGTAGTATAAATTTTTTAGATGCAAATTGATTTATTTGAAAATTAAATATAAAATTAAATAATCGCAATAAATAAACAATTAAATAACCAAAAAGTCATATCCACTTTTTTCTATCATTGAACGTTTGTGTTTTAAGAAAGAAGCAGAATCAGTTTCAAACACCCTCAAAGTAAATAAAGTAATTAAGGGGGAGGAGGGGGGGGAGGGGGGGGGGCGGCGGAGCCGCGGAGGGGGGGGGGGGCAGCGGAGGAGGAGGAGGAGGCAAATCTTTTACTTGATAGAGAAGACTTTGTCAAAATGGGAGAAAAAGAAAAAAGATGGGAGGCGAGGGAAAAGAAAGAGGAGATAGGGGGAGAAGAGAAATCAAAATGCTCATTCAAGTACAGATAATAAATGTGGACTTCCTAATCGAATTTTAGCAAGCTCATCCATTAAATGCCCGCTAGCTTGCAAAGATCCAACCATTCAATACATCAAACTTGAAGTACTTCGGTCCATTCTTATTTTATGGGAGGAACGCTTTTACTTGAACCAAAGTCTACACACATACACATATGTAGTATAAAATTTCCACTTAATAAAATTTAGCATAATCCTACCCCTTACCAGTAACCACAGAAGAAACTCCCAAACCACCAAGGATTTGATCATTCAATTTAAAGAAGAAATATTTAGAGAAACTCAAGCAAGAATTTGTGTTTCCCTAATAAAACGGTCACTAATCACATAGAAGAATGTATTGTGACTTGGGATGCATGCATGCTGTTTCCGAATGTGGGTAAGCAGGTAATGAGCTCTAGGAAAAAATGCAAAACTACTGCGTGCATATCCATCCACGCACTAACTTGCCTTGTAGGAATACATATAACTTCTAAGCTTTTTCACTTCTTCCGATGAATCATTAAGCAAAGAGTCCACGTACAGGCAGATCCCAGCTCCACTGCAACCGAGGACCAGAAAATAAAAACTTATTTAATTAACGAGATAGATCTTCTTTCGGAATTGTCAATTCCTATAAACAGACAAATGAATAAATAAAATACCTTACTGGCCCAAATGGAAGCCACAAAATATCCCATCTAAACTTTGCCAATCTGCATTATATATGACAGACAATCACACAACAAACAGTATGAATGATGCTGATATTGCCACATGGATATGGCATTGGCCTTTAATCCCCATCATCTCCCTTTTTCATGGATTTGGTTTCAGAATAACCTGGGATTTCTCTCAATTTAATTTCTTCAAATTGGGAGTGGCAGGCATCAAATGTCCCCTGCAGTGGTTCCCCAGGAGTCTAACCCATTGCTGCCATCACATACGATTTCATGGATATAGTTCCCAGTGATTCAACTTCATCACCAAATCAATCAAAATAGGTTGATTAATGGCGAGAAGCACGATTGCTTCATGTATATGCATGACATTTCCACGGCATAGTGCCGTATACCGTGGGTGATAGTATGCGCATGTAGTAGGACAATATTAAAGTGGGGCACAGAATAAGAGGTGAAAGGCATGCAGAACTAAAGAACACATTGAGATTAATACCTATGACAACACTAGAGTCCTAGACAATGTGATAGGAACCAGTTTTTTATTCTACACTGTACAGTGTGGTATACAACAAAGAACAATACTGAGTTACTGATTGCCAATATATCACTGTTGGTATAGTTAGCGCACCTCAGCATATAATGCAACCAAAACATAGCCAACAAGACGCCAGTCCAGCAAGAACACCGAAGCCAATGCCTCTGCCACTTTGAATTATGATGCATTATACCTTTCATGGTCATTAAGCACACCAAAATAGCTGCCCCTTCTGTCATTTATATAATAATAGATCACATAAAATGAGCTTATTGTGTGACTGCAATAAATGAAGAAATAAATTCCCCATGATTATTCTGAGAATAGAATATCATCCGAATAATTTGAACATTTGGTTAAGTTCGCTACACCAATTGCCCATTGTGCTCATTTACCTTCTTCTACATCATCATCATCATCACTACCCCAGTGCCACAAAGGCTCCCACCTACGGTGGGGTAGGGGGGTCGGATGTACGCAGTCTTACCCCTATACTAAAGCATAGAGAGACTGTTTACAGATGACCCATAGTGAAAATCGCGTCAAAAATTGCATGGACTGACGGCTGCTTCATAAAAAAGAAGCGCAGACAGTTTAGTGAGCCATTTTGCCTTATTCCATCATATGCTACCTTATTCTACACATTCCATAAAAATTCATGAATCGTTTATTCAATTGAGTCAATATCTTCACAACAAGTGCAATGCTCAAAGAGGAATGAATCATGAGATAGAGATAGTGAGATACTATGTACTTGGAGTCTTATACTACCATTACTAAAGCCGGTGTAAAACATCAATACTTGCAGATCATGTAGAGCATTAAACAATCTCTTATATGATAAGATATCATTGCAAGAAGACTAAAGGGGGCAAACCTGCAACTATGATGCTACCAGGGTCAACTTCATACATAAAGTAAGCATGATGTCGCTGTTAATTTGAACAGAAACAACAAATGTGAACCTCAGGTCTTTACAACCACTGAACCACCCAGTCAAGTTCCACAGGAAAGGCAATGAAAATCACATGAAGTACATATATGGTAACAAAAAGGAAAAGAATAAACGACAATGTCAAATTTCGAACTGTCCACATCCAAACATTATCAGTTTCTCAGGTTTATTTTCTGATTCCAAAATACAGTAAACGTGAACATTATCACAAAATTACAACTTCATCACCTCAACTACAAGTAATTTACATTTCAAATTTGAAGAAAAGAGAAGCAGAAAAGTATTTTTGTGACTTTTTTCCTGTTTTGTGTTCTATTGCTTTTTGGATTTTGAGAAACGTGAACAACATTTTTTTAGTTAATAAAGGTCGAGTGGCATGATTTTCTTAATCAAATTTTGAAAACTAATGTCTTTGATTTCCAACTTTCCATATACAGATTTTCTTTTTTTTAAGGTCACTCCAATATTTGCATACGCAAATTTCAAGAGCCCAACTGATTATGTATCGTGAAAGGAAAGTAGGTACAGTCACATTCCTGATACAATAAAATTCAGAAAATACACAGTCATTAAGATTCCCATGAAAGTAAGGAGAAAAAAGAAATTGCATTCGCAGAGAAAATACCAATTCCCATGGAAAATACGCCTGCTGATAGATTGAGAAAATGAGGAATCCAACGTAGCAGAACAAGAGCCCGGCGAAAACACTCTACAAAGGTTTAAAAAAGAAAAGTGAAATGAAAAGACCAAATGGAGCAAAGAAAAACGAGTTACCATACCCTCCACATGAGAGATTGCTGAGCTTGAGCTCTCTCGAACTTCCGAACCAGTTCCTCTTGTTCTGAATAACCAAAATTTATTTAATTCAATTAAATGTGATACCCCGTATGTAACCAACCACACTGGAAGGGATACACAGATACCGTGAGAGTAGATAGGTCGAGAATCGTCTCGAGTAGGAAGAAAAAAATTATCTTCTTCCTCGTGGTGAAAATCGCCTCGAGGCTGCCTCCATTTCCTCGCAATCTTCTGCATCGCCTCAATCAAATTCGTGCAACGGAAATAAGTGAAATCCCTGAAATCCAAATACATCACCACTTTGCCTATCAATATAGACAAAATTGTTAGTGTGCGAATGAGGTACACAAAAAACACATACTCAAATTTTCTAAAATTTCATTATTTAGTAGTTTTTTATAAAAGTATATCATCTACATTTAAAGTATTAAATTCTCCCTCCATTTTCTTTTTTTTTTGCTAAAAAATACGTAGTAATAAAAAATAGGAGTAGTGGATATTGTATAAAAAGTAAAACGGATAGAGGAAAACTATGAATGAGAATATGAAAAACTAAATGTCATTCAATATTTTGAAATAAGAAAATTATCAAAAAGGAAACGTGTAAAAGTAAAATTATTTCTCTCGTTTCTGCACAAATCATAACTACACAATTTTTCATTTTATCATTTTTAAAATTTGTAGCCATATCATTAAAGTGAAATCCAAGTCTCAATATTTCAATGATTCCTGAATCGCAAGTAAACTATTGAAGCTCATTAGTGGAAGAGAAATGATTATACCACAAACTATGAAGTTTGTTTCCATCTAGGGCACAATTTAGTGTCATGTGTGTCACTGTTCAAATCCATAACAAGTGTATTGCATTTGAGGATATAAGTCCATTAATGCTTACTTTTTAATCTTTTGTGTATATTTACACCATTTGTGTTAGTTTGGGGTGTATCACTAAAGTTTAAACCGAAACCTTTGTTGTCATATTTACAACATGTTTGAGATATTCAAATAATTAGTATCGTACCGGTGCGATGCACGGAACAAATGTATATTTTGTATTATATTTGTGATATATATATATATATATATATATATATATATATATATATATATATATATATATATATATATATATATATATATATATATATATATATATATATATATATATATACTAGTATGTCTAAAATACGTGTTAATTTGTTTTCTAAATTTATAGATGTCGTGAATTGTATGTGAATTCGTTGGAAAAGAATATATAGAATATATATATATATATATATATATATATATATATATATACATATATATATATATATATACATACATATATATATATATATATATATATATATATATATATATATATATATATATGAAAACTATGTTCCAACCAAGCATTCCAGCCCAGCTGGTTGTGAGGTTACCGTGCCTAGTGGGAGGTCTCGAGTTCGAATTCCGCTAGGCACACAAGGGTGTGAAACTCAATGAAGTGGGTTTCAGCCCTGATTACTCCAGGCTCCCCCAGTCCCCCCTCCCCCAGACCCCCCCCCCCCTGGAATAAAAATATATATATATATGAAAACTATGTTCCATATTTATGCCTCCCAATTTGATGTATAACTTAAACAAAAAATTATCCGGGTATAGCTTTTAAAAAATATAAAAGAGCGGTTGTTATAATAATATACGAAAGGCATACAAAATAACATTTAGACAGTTAAAAACTTGAAAATAGTCAGAATTAGAAAAGAATAACAAATATGCAATATATTGACTTCTTAACAAATACTATCCATTACCCTTTACTTTTTTTCATAATTCTGTGGATGCTCCCAGAGGCGGAGCCAGAGTACTGGGCCAGTACAAAGAAAATTTTTGAAAAAAATTAAAAATTACACCGAATTTTTTACACTAAAAATATAGACATTTTTAAAATTTGGGCTGGACCGGGGCTAGCCCTCCCCTAGCTACGCCCCTGAGTGATCGCATACTCGGTTTTTGTTAAGAGGCCAAAAGAAGTCAATATATTGCGTATTTGTTATTCTATTGTAATTCTGACTATTTTCAAATTGTTAGCTACACCCGGATAATGATCGGGAGTCAAGAGTGATGATAAATGACAGACATCATTAACATTTATTTCCTTGGAAGGTAACATGACATCCGCTCTCGAAGATTCTTGATAGGGACATGACCCAATTCCACGGTTCTTCTCAAAATTGTTGTTTTTATTCTATTCTATGGTGGTTCTTTCCCGGGCACTGGTGCTCCAGTGTGTTTTGTCTCTTTCGGTGTAGGGAGTTGCTTTAATATCCTGGTTAACTTCGACTGATCAAAGGTTTTTGTCTATCTTCTTTTGGATTGTGCAGAGAATGGTAGAGATATAAAAACAATTGACACGACCTGTTTCTAGGTCTATGTGGAACGAAGTAAGAAGAAGAATTTAATATTCACTCATATTGCAACAGATCGTCCTCCTCCGGAACCACCTCCTGCCAAAGAGAGTTTCTGGAAAGACTTTATTCCGGTGTTATTTTTTGGTAGTACTTCTTTTAATTAATTTTTTCAAGTAAGTTTGATTTAGATATCTAGATATTTGGAATATTTTGATAAGTGACTGAGTGTTTTGATTTCGGTCGTTTTGAGCTTAAAGCTGCACTTTTGGTGTCTAGTGAGTCAAACAAATTACTTTGTATGAGACGACTGGTTCTATGTCTATTCATAGGACTTACGATCAGATCTACAATAATTGTCTAAAGGTTATTTTGTATGCCTTTTTTATATTATTATAACAACCGCTCTTTTATATTTTTTAAAAACTATACCCGGATAATTTTTTATTTAAGTTATACATCAAACTGGGAGGCATAAATAAGGAACATAGTGGTCATATATACTCTCTAGGGTTAAAAACAATGCACGTCCCAAGAGGTAATCTAAGAAGGACAAATTTACATTAAGAGCACGTTTAGTGACCTAGTTTTTCGGTTTATAAGGCTTATTGTCCAACTTCAGCCAATACTGCCAGAAAAGTAATTCTATCTTTTTTTATTTTATTATTACACAATTCAACATCCGAAATCAAATGTTGCGTGCTTAGTGAAAAAATTGTCTGATAAATCTAATAAACCAAAAAACATGGTTACCAAACGGGTTCCTAAATGTTTAATGTGCCACACTCTCAAACAGTCAAACGTGGTGCAGTCTCAAACAGTCAAACGTGGTGCAGTTTATTGTTTTTCTCAATATGTAGTTATACTTTATTATTAAAAGAAGCGATCACACAGCAAGGTGGTGGGAGATAACTCATAAAAGTTCAAATAAAGTTGAAAATCAAGAAAACTGGATTATTTTAGACGAATGAATAGTTTGTAAACTAAGTACCCTCCTAAATGATAAACGAAATTTAAAATTTCCCAAGGACTAAAAGAACACTCTATGTCAATTATAAAGTGCTCTTCCCAACTTGTGAGTTGAAATCTATGCGCTGAGATAGTGAGATCTTCTGTATCACTATGACAACAGAAATGATGTTTCTACCCACTCTTATATTCACGTTTAAACTCACACATGTTTGTGAACGTTTTTTTGTCTCAATTTTTTGTTTGTGCAAAATTTGGACAGACAAAATAACACATATTTCTTTTGTGAATCGAATACACCGGAAAAAAAACCTTCACGGATATGGATGAGTATGAGGTGGATGTAAGAGTGGGTACATCAAGCATTATTGATCAATCGGAGGGCTTCTGTCACTCTTTTCAGTTAAATACATACTTTTCATGATATTGAAATATTCATGCTATGCATGAATTCTGGGCGCAAATAAAAGCTTGACTATTTTCCTCGTATATTGAAGACCCGTGCACAACCCCTCAAGTGCCGAAAAATGGAATAATTATAATCGCAATATTTTTATCATATGCAATAAGAAAGTACGTAGTATATTAATAGACTAGTAGTATATTAATTATAAATTATAGAATCATTTATTTATGAAATGGAAAATACCTCTCCAACTCTTCTCTTTCGGCAAACTAAATAATAAGAATAATTGAGTTGACTCCATAACCCAACAGACTTAATAACAAAATAATACTCTTCTCTTTCGGCAAATGATTGGTTTCATCCATCAAAATGTACCATCCGTAGACAAAATGGAATCTATAAAGCATTTGATTTGGAACCTTTCACAATCTTATTAACTTCAAGTGCTACATCATATAAGGATGATTTTGTATAAAGTAATTTGAATGGACACTGTTTTTATATTAAAAACTGAATGTAAGTGTCACTTTTCACGTGTCATTACCAACTGGCCGAGAGCTTTGGAAGGTCAACAGATTTTCACTTATGCATGTGTATAATAAGTAAGTTCTTAATAAATGAGATTAGCACTTGCCAGATTAATTAATACGTATGCTATAGCAAATATAAGCAGTCCATATAACTTGTATATACAAACGTGTTAGAGTTTGCAATTAGATTTATTATGATGTCACATGTCAATTTCTACTCTAAAGTGTGCTGCCACATGTCAAAAAATTCTTCATAGGTTTCTTTCAAGGTTTGCTTTATTATTTTATATAGATAGATATATAGGGGGAACCGGCCTCGGAACCGGGCCTAGGACCGGCCCGGTGTGTTAGAGCGGTCCGGTTCCGGACCTACTCTTCCTTTGGAACCGGCCCGACCGGGCGGGGCCTAGTTCGGGCCTATTTTTTTTTTTATTTTTTTCTATTTTTTTGTTTCCCCCGGGTTGGGCTAGGTGTTTTGGGGGGGGTTGGGAGGGGGGGTCAGGGGTTAATTAGAAAAGCAAAAACAAATTAACCGGCCCGGACCCGGTTGCAGTCCGGGCCGGTTCCGAGCCTGTCCCCAAAAAATAAAAGCCCGGTTTGGACCGGCCCAGAGCCCGGAACCGGTCCATGCCTACTAATGGTGAAGCCCTTGCACGTGGTGACGGTGCACATAGTCAAACATAAGGCCACAGTGATTTTGAAATATGGTGAAAGAGAGAATGCGGATACATAATAACTAGTATTGTACCCGTGCGATGTACGGACCATCGTTCAAATATATTACGAGGTATTATTTTAGAAAATATAAATATTAAAGTAACGAAAAATATGATAGGAAAGAGAAAAATAAATGTGTATGTAAGGATACGTAACAAAGACAAAACAAATAAGTTTTGTACATTTTTTGATTTTTTTATCATTGTTATATTCTTGATCTTTTTATCTTAACGTTTTATCCGTTTAATTTGCTTTTTTTTTA